AGCAGGAGGAGCAGGAGCCCAGGCATAGGAGTGATGAGATGGAAATGCTCTGGCTATGCAGGATGCCAGCTACCCAGCTGGTGTGCCCAGAGCTTGCATGGCTTTGGGGTTAACCGGACTGGGGTGATGGGATCAGGTGGACCGTGCCTTCTGGCGGAGACACACCCAGCTATAGTCTGGAAAGGTGATGGGTTTATTTTACACAGCTGAATCCCGGAGGCAAGTTTATTGTACACGGCTGAAAGAGGAGGAGGGTTGGCTAATCTTGGTAGGAGGTCTCTGTAGGGAAACGGGCTAGGGTTTCAGTCACCTGGGAAGCGGGTACTACCCAACCCCTGGGGCTGCCATTGGCACAGGCTACACTTACTTACCAGGCAGGAAACTTTGCTGTGCTACATCATAATAATAAGTGACCCACACTCTCATTGGTTCACACCAGTTAGAACTTCTTGATTACTTTAAAAAATATTTATTGTTGCCAGGCAGTGGTGGCACATGCCTTTAATCCCAGCACACAGGAGGCAGAGGCAGGAGGATCTCTGAGTTTGAGGCCAGCCTGGTCTACAGGGCTAGTTCCAGAATTAAAAGAGCACACAAGATGTATTGACATTGGTTAAAGGTTAGAAGTCAGGGACACCCTGTCCTGTCTGGGCCCCTGCCCTCCACCTCTTTAAAAAGTATGTGACTGCCTCCTCTGAGCAGTAGACTACTCCTGTAAAATAAAACTAAGTGAAATAAAAAATGCCTTGATGTGGCCTGCTCCTGTCAAGGCTGGCTTTATGCCAGGTGTGAGGGTGACACCAGGCCTGGATCTCTATGAACCCCAGAACACAGGCTTGCTTTGCCCCACACAGAGGATAGGGTGAGGATCAACACAAGGTCTTCTGCTAGTCTGGAGCCAGCAAGAAGACCTACACACCAGAAACCAGGGAGGGTTGGCTGTGGGCGGAGCAGGGGCCCCAGCAAGGCTAGTGTTCCAAGCCTAAAAAGGACAGGATGGATTGGAATTTCTGGATTTTGGAATGTAGAGTTCCCGTCAAAGGTTCCAGTCCACCCAGCATTGCACTATCAATCAACCTATCAACCAATCACTTTATCTATTCATCTATAATCTATTTTGGAATTTTAGACAGACTCTATGTAGCTCTAGCTGGCCTGGAGCTAGCTCACTTGCAGACCAGGTTGCCAGGATCTGCCTCCTGAGTACAACCACACCCAGCCCTTTTTAGGTTTTTAAATTATCTTGTTGATGTGTTTATGTGCACCAGTTCTTGCAGGAGCCGAGGCCAGAAGAGGGCATTGGACTCTCTGGAACTAGAGTTACAGTTGTCAATCACCCAGGTATTGCCCGCCAAGCTGCCTTCCATCCGGTTCACCCCATAGCTCTTTTTTCATACAGGGTCTCTGGTAGTCCTGGCTGAACTCATCATGGACGTAAAAATGACTTCTAAACTCCTGATCCTCTCTGAATGTATGTGGTTCCAGGGAATTCAAGGTCGTGAATACACTTTTAACACACTTCATTATTAAAGTGTATCCCTACCAACTCCACATCAACCCGAACCAGTCTTTCAGGATCCACCAGCACTGCAGCACCTGCCAGCACTTCATTCCTCACGGCTGTGTTCCATTGCAGGCTTTAAAAATCTTTGCTCCAGTTGGAAAGCTATCGGGCTTAGTTCACTCCTGCCATTGGCTGTCAGGGTGAATGCTATGAACACTGAGCAACTCTTAATCTAGGGAGGACAGTGGGAGCCCTAGACACATTTTCACTGAGGATCTGACAGCCATGGGCAAGGGCTGGTCGTCTGCTCTTCCCGCAGCAACCCTAGTGAGCAGGCCTTCCATTGACACCTAGTCCAAGTCTCACCCTTCCATCACTGAGCAGCCAGGCTGTTAATTTCCAACAGCATTTCCTCCACCACCCACAGCCCTTAGCCCTCCACCCGCTACCCCACGGCCCTTTCCAACAGGAGGACAAGGATGGTTACTGCAGCACTTTTATTTTTCTTTACACAATGACATGTTGCTGGGGCCTAATGTTCTCACTGAACAGTAGAAAACCAAAATTTGTCATTTCTTAAATTGAGTACAAAAAACCTTACATAAATTAAAAGAATGAATACATTTACAGGTGTCAATGCAAACGTTCCCAACTCAAGGCAAGTAACAACCCACGCGGTCAGGAGGGAAAACACCAGAACTGGGTCCTAAGGCTCGGACTTTCCCACCCTGTTAGACCGGCAAGACGGAAGTGGTAACTGGTTCAGGAACCCTTGCCAGCCTCGAGAAATCCTGGAAGTCAGCAGTCAGCTAATACCCTGCACAGATCACTGCACGGTGCTCACACATCCACCAGGCTGGAGATTTCTCGTCCACAGCATGCTCTCGCTCTCCCCAGCCACCTAGTGACCAAGCCACATGACTAAGGACTAAATCAAGATATGCACAGGGCATTAAACATATACCAAGGGAACAGTTAACTTGAATACAAGGTCAAAAATCAGCAACAAGTTCTACAATCCAGTGCTGATATTGGATACAAGCTTCAAGGACAAATTTCTTTTCAAAGGCTTATTCCAGTTTCATGAGGCTAGCATGAGGTGTGTACATTTGCCAGGGCAAATTGATACTTCAGAATCAGCTCATGCAGCAGATGCCTGGCACCTGCTCAGTCCATCTAGAAGCATTTGCGGTGGACGATGGAGGGGCCCGACTCGTCGTACTCCTGCTTGCTGATCCACATCTGCTGGAAGGTGGAAAGGGAGGCCAGGATGGAGCCGCCGATCCAGACAGAGTACTTGCGCTCAGGGGGAGCGATGATCTGCAGAGGAAACACAATGGGTGAGGACCTGTCTCTGGGTTCCACCTCCACCCACAGGGGCTGGGCCGGCTCAGGGGGTGTAGCAGCTGCTTACCTTGATCTTCATCGTGCTGGGAGCCAGGGCTGTGATCTCCTTCTGCATCCTGTCGGCAATGCCTGGGTACATGGTAGTACCACCGGACAACACCGTGTTGGCGTACAGGTCCTTGCGGATGTCCACGTCGCACTTCATGATGGAGTTGAAGGTGGTCTCGTGGATGCCACAGGACTCCATGCCTAGGGGACAGAGCTTGTTTAGCAACTAACTTCTGTGTGGTCCATGCCCTTAGCTCCTGCACCATGCTCGGGACACCTACCCAGGAAGGAAGGCTGGAAGAGAGCCTCTGGACACCGGAACCGCTCATTGCCGATGGTGATCACCTGCCCGTCAGGCAGCTCATAGCTCTTCTCCAAGGAAGAGGATGATGCAGCAGTGGCCATTTCCTGCTCAAAATCCAGGGCAACGTAGCACAGCTTCTCCTTAATGTCACGCACGATTTCCCGCTCAGCCGTGGTGGTGAAGCTGTAGCCCCGCTCAGTCAGGATCTTCATGAGGTAGTCTGTCAGGTCCCGGCCAGCCAGGTCCAGACGCAAGATGGCGTGGGGAAGGGCGTAGCCCTCGTAGATGGGCACTGTGTGTGTGACCCCGTCACCAGAGTCCATGACAATGCCAGTGGTGCGCCCAGACGCATACAGGGACAGCACCGCCTGAATGGCCACGTACATGGCTGGAGTGTTGAAGGTTTCAAACATTATCTAGAGGAACAAAGAACAGCTCAGTGAGTGGCAGTGGCAGAGACCCAAAGCTACCCACACCCACACTCCACATGCCGCATGCCACAAATGTGATGTGAAGGAAAAAAAAAAAAGGAACAGAACGCAGGCAGAAACACAAACAGAAACCTGGAGGCCTCAGGGAGGAAATGCCAGGAGAGGAGGAACAGAACCCTGGAAACACCAAAGAAACACTTGAATGTCAGGAAATGAGGCAGAACAGAAAATGGCTCGTCAGACGCAAGGACAGCACAGGCCTGGGTCGAGGCGTACCTGCGTCATCTTCTCTCTGTTCGCTTTGGGGTTCAGGGGGGCCTCGGTCAGAAGCACCGGGTGCTCCTCAGGGGCCACACGCAGCTCGTTGTAGAAGGTGTGATGCCAGATCTTCTCCATGTCGTCCCAGTTGGTGACGATGCCGTGCTCGATGGGGTACTTCAGGGTCAGGATTCCTCTCTTGCTCTGGGCCTCGTCACCCACGTACGAGTCCTTCTGGCCCATGCCCACCATGACGCCCTGCCAGAAGAAAGGCGGTCACGCGTGCCCCACCCGCCGCGCACCTGGGGCCCAGGGCGGACTCCGGGAGGTCGCCTCGGCACTCACCTGGTGTCGGGGGCGCCCGACGATGGAGGGGAACACGGCCCTGGGGGCGTCGTCGCCAGCAAAGCCAGCTTTGCACATGCCGGAGCCATTGTCAATGACGAGCGCGGCGATTTCTTCTTCCATGGCGATCTGCACGGAGATACCACGGCGTCAGCGCAGCCCTCCCCGCGCTCCGAGACCCAGCCCGGGAGGGGCGCCGCTCCCTCCCCACCACCCACCCAACTCCCGGGCCCGCGTAACCGTCGAAAACCGGCGGCCCCCCGGTTCGGCCGCGGCGCCGAGGGGCTGCGCACTGCGGCGGGCCCCGCCCTGCCCCCAGCGGGAGCTGGAGCCGCGGATGCGGACCTCGGTCGGTCCACCGGCCGCCAGGGCCCTGCGCTCCGTGGAGGCGCGGGAGAGTATCCCGGGGGTCGAGCGGGCCACGGAGGGGCACTGGGCCCGGCTGCGAGCGCGAGGGGCGCGGGCCGCTTACCAGCGAATGCCGGGGAGACGGAGCAGCGGGAAGACAAGCAGCGCAAACCGGCGGCGGAGTGTGAGACCGACTGTGGCCTCCCCCGCCGCTATTTAAGCGGGAGCGGGCCGCGCGCGCCGGCGGAGGCGCGCGCGGCCCCAGAACATGTCCATATATGGCGATCTTTCCAAAAGCCGGGCGCCTATTGGCTCGCCCGCCAGGGACACGTGGGGCCCGGGGCCCGCCCGCCCCTAGCCCGCGCCTCCGCCAACCGCCCCGCCCGCGCCGCCCCCGCGTGCTCGAGACCCGGACGCGGGCCTGGCCTGCGGGGGTCGCGGTCGAGTGGCGTGCGGGCGATCGGCCCTGCCCTGCCCCGGTACTGCAGCAGGGAGGGCCCGGGCTGCGCCCCGAAACTGCCAGGCCCCAGGGGGCCGTGCCCCGACCTGGGGTGAGTCCCGTGGCCCCCGCCCGCCCGCCCGTCTGTGAATTCTGCACCCCGCACACCCCCGGGCGCTTTCCCTACAGGCTCGGGGCAGATCTGGGCCTCGGCAGCTGCTGCCTGGCTGGGGAGGGGCCGTCAGGGTCCCTGGGGGTCCGGGGAGCGGCCATCGCTTCGCGATCACGTGGGAGGGGGGTCCCCAGCTCTTGCATGCCGGCCACGTCCGCGTAGGCCCCTGCACCGGAGGAGGGTCGTCCCCCACGCAGGCCGGGACCGGTTATCACCAGACATCCCTGTCCACGGAGGGCTGGGGTGGGGGGGCCTGTGTCGTGCTGGTCTCCCGAGGACGTGGCAGGGAAACTGAGGCAAGGGAGGACTTCTGACTTTCAGAACGGTCCAGCCCCGCCCCCCGTCTCGGGCAAGCTGGGCGAGACGTCTCTGCATCGATAATGAAGCCCGGGTCAAACTGGTTTGGGGCACTGGATGCCTGGCCTTAGTCCGCCCCAGACAGGCGCGCGCGTGGGGGTCGGGGCGGGCATCAGTGCCCTTCGCCCAGGCTCTGGGAAACCTGTCACCCTTGGCGGGGTCGTGGACGCACCTTCCAGTGCTCGGTCTTGGCGAGAGCCGGAGGGAAAGCCCCGTAGTTTCCCGGGTTTATCTGTGAGTTTCTGCAATTGTTCAGTGTGGAACTAAACCGAGGGGCGCAGGGAAGTAACGGACCCCAAGGTCACAGGACAACCAGCTTGATCCTAGCGGCTGGGGGCTCTGCCCCACTCCCCACCAGCCCTCTCCCGGGCGCGCTCCGTGCGCCCTCAGTCCTGCAAGGTCAGCTCAGCCGTGGGAGACGTGAACACGGGTCTAAGAGGGCCAAGCAGCCCGGCCAGTTTACCTGCTGTGCACAAAACCCGTGCCAGCAGCCAGTCACCTTGTCGCCAGGCCGAGAAAGAAGGGCGCTAGGCCCGCGAGCAGCCTGGTTTTAGAGGTGGCCAAATGTGAGCATCACCAACGAAGGGGACGCATGGCTGCAGAAACGCCTCCATGACCTGGGTGGAACCATGAGCCAGCGGGGGCTTCCACTCCTAGGTGGGGGTGGGTGGCCCCAGGATGGGACAGCGCACCCCGAGTGGCACAGGGAAAGTGGGAGGTTTCGGGAACCACTCTCAGCCGGTGACCATCTCTCGCTCACACGCCCATGGTACCCAAGTGCTGCCAAGGGCGGGGCGCAGTTAACCCCGGCTCTCTAGAGCGCCTTTGTCTGTGCGCTCAGGAGGCGCTGCGACTCGGGAACGGCTTTGTAAGGCCGGGCGCCTTCTGACGCCGGCGGGGGCGCCTCGTCCCCCACCCCCGGCGGCGACGCGCGCGGCGGGGCCCAGGTGCGGCTCAGGTGTGCGGATGGGGGTAGGGGCGGCGGGCGGCGCGCGGCCTTATTTGGCGATTTCGCCCCGCGCTCCGCCCGCCGCCTGGAGGCCCGCGGCCGCCCTGAGTCACGGGGGCGGACGTAACGGACGAGGCGCTCCTCGCCTTATTTAGTCAAGCAGGCTACCCATTGGCCCGCGGGACAAAGGGGCGGCGGTCCCGGCCGGTGCGCACCGCAGACCCTCGGCTGTGTGTGCGCTGGGGCTCGGAGACGCGGCCCTCCCCGGGGACAGCGAGGGAGGGGCATGCCCCGGCGGAGCTGAGCGGCGAGCGGCCAGGCCTCCTAACGCCGTGCATCCTGTGCGCGGGACGCAGGCGCTCTGTGTGCGCTGTGATTTTTCTGCTTTGCAACCGGGCAGTGTGAGGCTTCACCCAAAGTCAGGTCGGGGCCGTTCTTGACTGCTGCGGAAGTTGGCGGCCCCACCCCTCTAGGAGCTGGAATGGAGGAGGCCTGCCAAGAGCCTGCAGGCCAGGGGCAGCGATTGCAGGTCTGCCAGAAGTGGGCGTGTCCTCCCGTGGTAAAGAGAGACTCAGTCTCGAGAAATGACAGGAATTTTTCCCCCTTTGCTGGCTTTGGTCAGTTTTTATTGATGCATCTTATTTCCTATTCTGGTCGTTTAATGGCTGAGAAAACAGCAGTTCAAAGGGGAGTTGGAGAGTTTTAGTACAGGCTGCCCCGACCCTGAAGCAACCGGTCAGTTCCTTCTCCCTGCAGCCTCTTTGGATGCTCCCTGGACTCCTGGCCACCTGTGTACTTTACCTCCGTCCTCCAGCACCTGCTCCATCACCTGGGCGCTTCATACTTCCTCCTAACAGGCTGCCGTGTTAGGCAAACAGAAGGAGGAAGGAGGAACTTAGTCCTGGGCCTCCACTCTTGGGCTCTGCTATTCCTGCCGTCAGGAATGTCAGCCTCACCCTGAAGCAGAAGAGACTGAAGAAGCTGTGACATTCAGGTCAGGTTTGGAACCTTTCGGTGAGGGAGGGCTGCCACACTGTAAGATGCTAGCATTAGGGGGTAATGGGTGAGCTCCTCCTCTGTCCTTGAAATGTTTCTGTAAGTCTAAAAACCCACAATAAAAAGTAAAGCATTGCCAGGTGGTGGTGGTGCACACCTTTAATCCCAGCATTCCAGCATTCAGGAGGCAGAGGCAGTTGGATCTCGGAGTTGAATGCCAGCCTGGTCTACAGAGCGAGTTCCAGGGCAGCCAAGGGATACACAGAGAAACCCTGTCTCAAAAACAAACAAACTGGCCGGGCTGTGGTGCCGCACGCCTTTAATCCCAGCACTCGGGAGGCAGAGGCAGGCGGATCTCTGTGAGTTCGAGGCCAGCCTGGTCTACAAGAGCTAGTTCCAGGACAGGAACCAAAAGCTACGGAGAAACCCTGTCTCGAAAAAAAAAAAAACTGTATAATGTCTGAGGAAAACAAAATCTAAACACCCTTTTAAACATTTCACTTTCTTGTCCTAGGCCTTTGCGGACACATTAAATGCAAGTGGGTACTTCCTGTCTGTCCAGTGCCAGGACTGGCGCTGCCCCTGAAGGTGAGGCCCAGTGGCAGGGTAGTGAGCCAGGACTCAGGCACGTTACAACCATGAAGGTGAAGGTTCCGCAGGGCATCGGGAACAGGCACCACGTGACATAGTATGTTGGCCAACTGTGAGGCTGCCCTCTCCCTTTGGGGAGGACATCTGCCCAGCCCGAGCTGGTACCCAACTGCTCCAAGATCTTCCCAAGTATTGTTTTCACTTAGTGTCCTTGTATGTCAGACCTGAGGCTAGAGTAGGCAGGGCTGCCCGAAGGATACACTCACCCCCAGCCAGCTGAGACCCCGGAAAAAATTCTCCCCCAAGCCGGTGTGGTGGCCCCACCTTGATTCCATCACTCCAGCAGCAGAGGCAAATGCAGGGGGACATCTGAATTCAAGGTCAGCCTGGTCTACAGTGAGTTCCTGGACAGCCAGGACTATACAGAGAAACCTGTCTCAAGGAAAAGAGAGACTGGTACTCCCCTGGGCCTTGCTCCCTGCTGGCTCCATGGAGTAGCCCTATAGGCCAGATGTTGTCTGCTCTTCACTGCTCTGTGTGGTGTGTGGTCCTGGGGGAGCCCTGCTGAGGACCCGCTGCCCCTCCCTAGAGCTCAGCCCATCCTAAAGCCGATACTTCCCTGTGGTTCTTATTCCCAGTGCTCTCCTTCCGAAAAACAGAAGACACAGTCCTCTGAGCTGCCAGAGTGTCTGGCCCCCACAGTGAGTTCTGTGTACCCCATCTCTGTTGCCAGCACTGCCTCATGCTCTGAGCCCCATCCAAGGGCCCTGGGGCTCTTGTGTGAGGTTGAGGTTGCCAGTTCCATCCCTGCTGACTGCACCTTGGCTCCTGACCACTCTTCCACCTCTGCCCCCAAGTTAACTGACTGCCCCAAGCCCTGGGCCCAGCGGTCTGAGGCTTCCAGTTATGTGCAGTTAGTCTGAGTAGCCACAGAAGTCCTTGATGAAGCTGGACACCCATACAGACGGGTAGGAAGTCAAGTGGAGACGTAGGGTGTCCAACCCGTCTGTCCAGTGTGCCGTCCATCCTGTGCCCCCCTCCCCCACTCTGGAGGAGGCAGAAGTGGGCAGGGCCTGGACAACCAAGAAAATGGGACAGTTTCGGTTTCAACTCCCTGACCTCAAAATGCAGGGATTGGCGCACAGGGAGCGGAGAGCCCCATTCTCCATCCTTTCCCAGGGTCCCTTGCTATTTCCAGTTCATTGCCATCAGCTCTAGTGACCCCCGATAGGCCGAGGGCTGCAGGGGACAAGACAGGCTAACCTCCCCACCGTACCTCTGCTACGACTGGCGGCTGGCTGCAGGGAGTAGCCGCAGAGCTAGTCAGGAGGCTGGGAGCAGCGCCTGACTAGGAGGAGGCCAGGGCTGGACAATGGGCAGAAAGCAATTGCTCTGGCTGTTCTGTGCCCTACAGCTGTTCCCCCTGCCATAGCTGGCATGCACTAGAGGAGGTAGGTGGAGGGGAGGTGGTCCGGAGTTCTGCAGGGCGCTCAGAAGGGGTACTCTGACTACCACTGCCCTCCCCAGGGAAGGAGGGAGGCGTGACCTGGGCGCGGCCCAGTGGGAGTGCGCTCTGCAGGGCGTGGGAACCTGTCCTCTGAGCCCGGCTTGCACTCAGAGGCCAAGTCCAGTGTCTGGCCCACGGTGATGGTGTGCGGACCAATCCAGCTGCTAGCCGCTCTCCATCGGCATCCTTGGAGCCAGTTCACTCTCCCCTTCCCTCTTTAGGGTCAGCGCTGGTATCCCGCGGAGAAACCTGTCTTCAGAGGGGGCAGTGGACCTCGGAAGGAAAACCAATGGGGTGGGTGGTCGGGAATGTGAAAAGGCTGCCTCAGACTTCAAGGCATGGAAAGCTTGCACCCCCTACACACACACACACACACACACACACACACACTCTCTCTGCAGACAGGAGGAGAGCGAGGCACGCTCGGGCTTCACCTCCCCTTCCTGAGACCTCGGCCTGGGGCGGGGCGGAGCGGGTGAACGCTGGGCTTTCCTGGGTGGGCGCGAGCTGGGGGCAGGGACGTTTCCCGGGGGTTCGAGCTTGGAGTACAGAGCCCAGCAGATGGCGCCCCTGGCAAGGGCCATGCGGAAGGCAGGGTCAGTGGCTGATCCGTGTCATTCCCGTGTGAACCGCCAGGTGGGTCCCGATACTGGGACTTACTGAGGTTGAAAGGCGTGGAGCGCACAGGTTCCAAGTCATCCTCACTTCAAAGGCCGAGAAGGACCCTGAAGTTCCTAACCACGCAAGGCTAGGGCTGGCCCGCCGCTGAGTCACCTCTGGCAGGGTAACCACGGCAGGGTTGCCGCCAAGCAACGGATGACCTCAGCTGGCGCTGATGCACGGGGAGGAGGTGGGGCAGGGGCAGCCAGCACCCAGAACAGCTGGGACTCACTGCCAGAGAGGACCAGACCATCGGATATCCGGGAGCAGATGCACACATAGCTGCTCTGTAGACCAGGCTGGCTTCAGATTCATAGAAACGTTAGGACTGAAGGCCAGCACCACCTTGCCTTGTGGTTTTTGTTTTGTTTTGTTTCTTTTGGTTTGGTTTTTCCAGACAGGGTTTCTCATAGCTTTGGAGTCTGTCCTAGAACTCACTCTGTAGACCAGGCTGGCCTCGAACTGAACTCACAGAGATCTGCCTGCTTCTGCCTCCTAGTGCTGGGATTAAAGGTCAACACTACCTTGCCTTGTGTTTGGGTGCGGGGGTGGGGGGGGGTGGGGGGGTGGGGGGGGTGGCGGTGGCTTTAGTTTTTTCCAGACAGGGGTTTTTCAGTGTAACAGTCCTGGCTGTCTTGAAACTCCATCTGTAGACCAGGCTCATTGTCTTTTTTAATGGAGTGGGTATGTGACTGTTTCCTTGACTTCTAGCACTTGGTGGAATTTTTCATTTTTTACAAAGAGTCATTTGTGTGTAGTTGTGTGTTGTGTGGATGCAGGTGTTCTCGGAGGCTGTGTGGATGTGTGTGTGTGTGTGTGGATGTGTGTGTGTGTGTGTGGATGTGTGTGTGTGTGGATGTGTGTGTGTGGATGTGTGTGTGGATGTGTGCGTGGATGTGTGTGTGGATGTGTGTGTGTGGATGTGTGTGTGGTGTGTGTGTGTATGGATGTGTGTGTGTGGATGTGTGTGTGTGGATGTGTGTGTGTGGATGTGTGTGTGTGTGGATGTGTGTGTGTGTGTGGATGTGTGTGTGTGTGGATGTGTGTGTGTGTGGATGTGTGTGTGGATGTGTGTGTGGATGTGTGTGTGTGTGGATGTGTGTGTGTGGATGTGTGTGTGTGTGGATGTGTGTGTGTGTGGATGTGTGTGTGTGGATGTGTGTGTGCGTGGATGTGTACGTGGATGTGTGTGTGTGGATGTGTGTGTGTGGATGTGTGCGTGGATGTGTGTGTGTGGATGTGTGTGTGTGTGGATGTGTGTGTGTGTGGATGTGTGTGTGTGTGGATGTGTGTGTGTGGATGTGTGTGTGTGGATGTGTGTGTGGATGTGTGTGTGTGTGTGGATGTGTGTGTGTGGATGTGTGTGTGGATGTGTGTGTGTGTGGATGTGTGTGTGTGGATGTGTGCGTGGATGTGTGTGTGTGTGTGGTGTGTGTGGATGTGTGTGTGTGTGGATGTGTGTGTGTGGATGTGTGTGTGTGTATGTGTGTGTGGATGTGTGTGTGTGGATGTGTGTGTGTGTGTGGATGTGTGTGTGTGGATGTGTGTGTGGATGTGTGTGTGTGTGGATGTGTGTGTGTGTGGATGTGTGTGTGTGTGTGGATGTGTGTGTGTGTGGATGTGTGTGTGTGGATGTGTGTGTGTGGATGTGTGTGTGTGTGGATGTGTGTGTGTGTGGATGTGTGTGTGTGTGTGTGGATGTGTGTGTGTGTGTGTGGATGTGTGTGTGTGTGTGGATGTGTGTGTGTGTGTGGATGTGTGTGTGTGTGGATGTGTGGGTGTGTGTCGTGCGGATGCAGGTGCTCTCGGAGGCTGTCAAATACCCTGGAGCAATTGTGAGCTGCCAGTCCCGGATGCTGGGAACTGAACTTGGGTCTGCTGGAAGATCAACAAGTGCTCTCTCTCGACAACTGATCCTTTCTTCAGCCCCCTCACCTTTTTTCTCTAATGTTTTTCCTGTGTTGTTTGTTTTATTTTGAAGTAGGGTCTCCCTATGTATCTCTGTCCTGGAACTTGCTCTGGAGACCAGGCTGTCCTTAAACTCAGAGATCTGCCTGCTTCTGCTTTCTGAGTTCTGTGATTAAAGGTGTGCACCACCATACCTGGCCTGAATTTTTTTTTCATTTTTAACATTTGTTCTAAAGTAATAGCAAATATAACTGTTTATAAGCATCTTGCCTACTGTTCCCTGCCTCATTTCTGAGACATTTTACAAGGTTGTCCAGGCTTGATGTCTTAGCATCCCATCCTCTTCACAGCACAGTCATCAGGAAATGATGCTACGATAATCTACAATCTTAAGGTTCCTACTGCTGCGAAGAAACACCATGATCATGGCAACATTTATAAAGGAAAACATTTACAATTTCAGAGGTTTAGTCCACTATCGTCATGGTGGGGAGCATGGCAGCGTGCAGGCTGCCGTAGTGCTGGGGACGGAGCTGCTACACGGTGAAATGCAGGACATAGGAAGTAGACTGAAACACAGGGTGTGGCTTGAGCATATGAGCAGCAAAGCCTGCGTCTACAGGGACACACTTCCTCCAACAAGGCCACACCTCCTTAGAGTGCCACTCCCTTTGGGGGCCATTTTCTTTCAAACCACCACATCTACAGTTTGTATATTAGTGATAAGAACATTTTTTTTTTTATAGATCCAGCCTGGACCATACATTTCATTTTTTTGTTATAAGCATTCATACTTTTAATTCTCAAGACCTCTCATTCTGTGCCTATTCAGAAATTAACTATGACTGGAGAGATGACTCAGCAGTTGGAAGTTCTTGCTGCTCTTCCAGAGGCCCCCAGTTTGATCGCCATCACCCTAAGAGGTGTGACAGCAGCTCCAAGAAGTTCAGTTCTGGGTACTGCCACGCAAGCCACGCACATCGCACACACGGGTCTTTTTTTCCTTTTCAAGACAGGGTTTCTCTGT